AATAAGCAGGGAGACAATATACAGCCTTGCCGTATTCCTTTCCCAATTTTGAACCAATCAGTTTTTCCATATCCAATTCTAACTGTAGCTTCTTGACCCACATAGAGATTTCTCAGGAGACAGATGAGGTGCCCACTCTTAGCATTGACATATTTCAAAAAGTAAAAACCAGGACACCCCAAAGGTTATTGAGGTCTCCTGGGACAGGGCAGGGAGCTGAAGAGCTTTCGTCTGTATGTTTTAAAAAGGGAAGCCTGCGAACAGCGACAAGAGCAAGCAATTACCCATTTCTTGGACGAACCCCTTATTAAAGAAAACACCTTTGATCCTGTTGTGTCGCTAGGTGGCAGGATCGTAACGCAGATTAAGTTTAGGAAAAAAGCTGTCGAGTGGCTTCTTTTCCTATTTCCCCACCTTCCACTAGATGGCAGCAGCAGAACTAAAATGTGCCAATAATGACCTTAAAGGCGGCGGCCCTGGAGGGGAGGAGGGAGCCCTGATTTTCATCGTTACTGTCAAACGCACAGAAAGAAGCCCTGTTAAGAAATGCTCTCTATTGGCTGCTTTCCTGGAAACTACAGAACTTTTGCTTTTTGGTCTCCACCCACCAACCTCACTAATGTATACAAATACATTTCCTTTTTCAAACGTTGCTTGCAGTCTACTTTAAAACAAGTGGGATGGAAGTAGGGAGCCTGTTAAGCAGTTATTGTGTGTGTGTGTGTGTGTGTGTGTGTGTGTGAGAGAGAGAGAGAGAGAGAGAGAGAGAGAGATTAATGCTCCATTGGCCTTGTAAATTCCATGGCACAATTTGCAGTATTTTATTTTTTTTAAATCTAGCATGGATTGAGACCTAATTTCTACCCTGCCGTCTGAGATAGCAGCGCCATTATTTGCTTAGCACGCTAAGTGTGTTATTGAACCGTATATTATTCTCGAACTCCTTCAGTGTGTGGGTCTGCTCCAGGGTCTGCTATGGAATTCCCATTTCGGTTCCACATTTTTTGCTCCGCTCGCTTTGATATGTCAGAGCAAAGTGACAAAACCAAACGCAACACCTCCTCGGGAGGTGCCCCAAGAGGCCCTGATGATACACCCAGAGATAATGGATGTGGAGTGTGATGGGCTCCCCTTGAAGAATGGTCCCCTTGTGCAAACAAAGTCAATTACCCTGACCGTTGTTGTTTTCACACAACACACAAATATGTCAGGGGTCAGTCCCACAGAGGGAAAATAGGCTGAGTGGTTCTGTGTGTATTCAGAAAACAGATGGACTGTGGTGCAGTTGGAGAATTTCAGATTGTAGACAAAATACCGTATTTTTATGTGTATTAGAGGAGGTTATTTTATTAGAAACAGGGACGCGGGTGGTGCTGTGGGTAAAAGCCTCAGCGCCTAGGGCTTGCCGATTGAAAGGTCAGCGGTTCAAATCCCCGCAGCGGGGTGCGCTCCCGTTGCTCGGTCCCAGCGCCTGCCAACCTAGCAGTTCGAAAGCACCCCCGGGTGCAAGTAGATAAATAGGGACCGCTTACTGGCGGGAAGGTAAACGGCGTTTCCGTGTGCTGCACTGGCTCGCCAGATGCAGCTTGTCACGCTGGCCACGTGACCCGGAAGTGTCTCCGGACAGTGCTGGCCCCCGGCCTCTTGAGTGAGATGGGCGCACAACCGTAGAGTCTGTCAAGACTGGCCCGTACGGGCAGGGGTACCTTTACCTTTTTATTTTATTAGAAAATGATGCTAAAAGCTGTGGGTTGTCTTATACACGGATAGTGGAGAGGTGGGACGGACGATTGTTGGCTGCAGCAATGTCCGCTGGCTATTGGCTGCTGTATCAATAGGGTGGGTGATTGGCGCTTTATTTTGGTGTGCGATTGGCTGTGGCGGTCCTGCAGGTGTGTGATTTCCGGCAAACCCTGCCCCCCCTGAAAGCTCAACAAGTCTGGGCAATCTCCCCCCATTTTCTCAATTTGGGGTCCCCCCAAATACATGGGGGCATGTTATACACAGGAAAATACAGTAGTCTTGTTTGTGTGTGGAGGGGAGGTCTTTTAGATGATCATGGGAATTACTTCAAAAATGTGGTTTCTCATTATTGGGGGGGGGGCTCTTGCTCATTCTGCTGAACAGTCCTGCAAACAATGTGGGCTGGATCCAGACACATCAAAGAAGCGCTTCAGAAAAATGTGTTGTAACCTTTATAATGAGAAAGCATGTTGGCAAAAACGGAACTCCGCAGCGCCATCTGGTGTCGCTGTGTTATATTGCATACGAAACACTTTTTCTTTACCAGTCTAGCTAAGTCCTTGGTAACACTGCAAAGCTCATAGCTGTCAACTTTTCCCTTTTCTTGTGAGGAATCCTATTTGGAATAAGGGAATTTCCCTTAAAAAAGGGGGAAAGTTGACAGCTATGAAAGCTGCAGGGCTGACCTATCCCACAGAAAGCAGGGGGCGCTGTGCCTCAGTTGCTGTGTGTGCCATTGACCATGACAGTGAGTGAATGCCCACCTAAGGTTTGCAGGCAAGGTGCTCCCGGGGAGTACCGTATTTTTTGCTCTATAAGACTCACTTTTTCCCTCCTAAAAAGTAAGGGGAAATGTGTGCGTCTTATGGAGCGAATGCAGGCTGCGCAGCTATCCCAGAAGCCAGAACAGCAAGAGCGATTGCTGCTTTCACTGCGCAGCGATCCCTCTTGCTGTTCTGGCTTCTGAGATTCGGAATATTTTTTTTCTTGTTTTCCTCCTCCAAAAACTAGGTGCGTCTTGTGGTCTGGTGCGTCTTATAGAGCGAAAAATTTGGCACTTTTCTGTGGCAGTTGCCATAGAAAAAAACATGGGAGCGGTGTCAGGTACGGCTTTAAGGGAGGAATCCTTTCTGAGAGAGTAATGGAGGAGACTAAAGTGACCTAGGAGACTGAGCCCCAGGGAGCAGAAAAAAGAGGGTTCAAATTGGGAGGGAGAGATTCTCCGAAGTACAGCCCAATTCTTCTTCTCTTATCCTCATGTAAGAAAAACAAAAACAAAGCATGTCTTCATTCCGCTTGAACCCAGGGCTAGAAGGAGCTGCAGGAAAGAAATTTGAGTTGTGTGTGCAATAACTCTTGCATGTGGCTGCCCACATCACACGTGCACCAGGCCTCGTGTTAAAACTTCTGGGTAGCCCTGCAAAGCTGATCACAGCAGGTTGGGGGGCGGCACCAAAAAGACTCTCCTTCCTTGGGGTTTTTTTACAATGGTGGAGCGCATGCCCGCACTGCCCAGGATGGGGTGCACCCCACAGGCCAGAGTCCAGGGCTGGAGAAGGAGGGAAGCTGCCACTTACTTTCATCCTGCTCTTTCTCCCTGACCCAGTAGCAGAGCTGCTGTGGCCGGGCGCATATCACCACGACTGAGAAGGGCTGTTCTCTGCCACTGGGTCAGATGTGACCAGGCGCACTGGCGTCACAATGGGGGTGGGGGGCGGTACGCCCCAGGTGCCATGTCTGCGGGGGTGACAAGAAGGCACCCCACAGGGGCGCGAGCCGCCATCGCGCTGCCGCAACTGCATGTGCAGGATCCTCCGTTTGCGGCAGAAGATCCCAGCGCTGGCGGCAAACCACTATGTACAGCGCATGTGCGGCGTCGCATGCATGCGCTGTATGGAGCAATGCCACACGTGATCTGTACATATCAGTTAGCCACCGGCGCAGCTCCAGCGCCGTACAGATGGTGCAGGGATCCCTCAGTCGCCGCTACAGCTGCGAACATAGGGATTCGTACAGCGCTGGAGCGCTGGCGCCGGCAAACCGCTATGTACAGCGCATGTGCGGCATTGCTACGTACGGCGCACATGCGCCCTACGTAGCAACGCCCCACCCCGGGGGTCAAGGCACCATTTCCCATGTTAGCTAAAGATGGAGTCTTCATTCGCCCCTGACCAGGCGGGGGAGCTGCTGCTGAGGAGGGTGGGTACCAGCGTGATCGCCCACTCTCCTCCTGGTCTCCTTCCCTGGGGCGGGCCTGGCCCTGGGGCTTGTGCGGTCGGGCACAAGCACAGAAGCTTGGGCACAACTCCTTGTGCGGAGCCAGGCCTCCGATGAAGGAGCCTGCTGTGAGGGTGCCTGTTTGCACCCCCTCGCCAAATTGCATCCTGGGCCACGTCCCCCTCCCCACATTTCTGGGTTTTTAAGCAGAGGTTGGATGGCCATCCGTCACAGAGATTCCTGCATTTCAAGGGGTTGGGGTCCCTTCCAGCTTTACAATTCTGTGGTTCCGCACTTACGGTACTATTTACCCTAGGGCTGGCCATTTCCCATGTTAGCTAAAGATGGAGTCTCCATATTCAGAGGAAACATGGCCCTGAATTCTATTTGTCGAGGAGCAAAAATATAGGTGGGCTGTTCTGCTGGTGGAGTTGGGCACTGTGGAAAACTGGAGCAGAAGTGGCTCTGAGCTGATGCCTGACAGGTTATTGGCAGGGCCGGATTTAGGTTTGATGAAGCCCTAAGCTACTGAAGGTAATGGGGCCCTTTATATGTCCAGCTGTCCTTTGTCAACAACAAATTGTCGCTGGTTTTTTGTGTTTAATATATGCTATATGGTAACTTATGGACCTAATAGGTATGTAGGTTTTATTTTATTTTGTTTTTTATCTTATATTTTGGAAATATGGAGGGTACCATGTTGGCTACCCTTGCCTTAGAGGCACAAGATAGATTGGATTCTGCTGGCTCTGTTCAGAGTTACCGCTGAGGAGACTGAATCAATCGATGGCCCGCTTGCCTTTGACAGATTCAGTACAGAAGGTTTTCCCTCAGGATGTAATCTAAAAGTCATCACATTTAAGAGGTACCTTGCTGTTGATTTCAAAAATGGATTGCAATGCTGGAATCACTGTGGCTTTTGAAAGACAACCAACTATGCTGTGTGATGAAAACAAAACTACAGATTGCAGTTTCCAGTAAAAAAATTTTTTTAAAGGAAAGCATTGTCCAGAAACTTTTATTGGCTGAATTTGGCTGTATCAGGTAAACAGAACACAAACTGTCACCGTTGTTATGATGACGCAAACCAGCAATGTCAGGAGCAGCGCAATGAGGCACCATCGCGAGTGTTTCCTTTCCCTCTCTTTCTTTTTCAGCAGCGTGTCATATCCTGGTGTGTAAATATCTTCCAACCAGTACTGCAGGTCGTTTGGGTTTTCCTGCAAGAAAATTGACTGGGTTCTTTCTTGTGCGTAGACAATAAACAACAACAACATCATGCAGTTGAATATATTTTGGCTGCCGCCACAAAATGAACTATGGCCACCCCAGATCTGTCCAAGGGTCCAACCTGCAACAGTTCAGACAGGTCAGCAAACTTTTTCAGCAGGGGGCCGGTCCACTGTCTCTCAGACCTTGTGGGGGGCCGGACTATATTTTTTGGGGGGGATGAACGAATTCCTATGCCCCACAAATAACCCAGAGATGCATTTTAAATAAAAGGACACATTCTACTCATGTAAAAACACACTGATTCCCAGACTGTGCGCAGGCCGGATTTAGAAGGCGATTGGGCTGGATCTGGCCCCCAGGCCTTAGTTTGCTTACCCATGGCTCAGAGGCTTCCACTTAGTAGCATGATGGCTAGATGGGGGGGGGGGCACCTTCATACCTAAAAAGGTACACAGCCGACTCAGTGTGACTGACCAGTTTACATACTTGTGAAACTTTAGAATCCTGTCTTTGGCATGGAAGCTTAATGGAGCAACAATAAACAATTTAGAAAGAATGAAAGCACACTGACTTGCATCCTGGCTTTTCGTACTGTCGATAGGAACTTATTCCATTCACAGAACGACCCCTCCCATAAGTGCAACTTTCCTCCCATGAATGGAAGTGTTTTCCATTCACAGAGCCAAAAGTTAGGATCTGGGCTTCTGCAAGCAGTCCCAAAGCTTAGTGCTCCCTTTGCTCTGTGCGGTACCTAATTTCCCCAGGTACTTAAATGTCCAGTATCTCAGGCACAAATAAAACAGTGTAGTTCTGGGGTTGCCAACCTCTTGGGGCCCATGCTTATATTTGCAAACCAGAGAAAGTGTTGCTGGCATTACCCCAACCTATTGACTTGGCTGAAACAGAATGCTTCTTTCATGTCTAATTTCAGCCGGGGGAGAGGACATGTGCGAATCAGGGAAGGTCTCTATGGGTGCGTGGGTGTCTATGGGCATCACATTACCGACCCCGGTATAATTTTTTTGTGGGGGCAGATGCGATTTTGCGGAATTGTACCTTTAGATAGTGAGCCAGGCTAGAGTTTAAGGAATGTCTGTCATAGTCTTGGACAGTCCAGGATGGGTATTTTTTCCCTTCCTTCCAGCTGTCATCAGGGAAGACATCACTGTAAAGAGGATTTCTTTTGATGGTTGATTTCAAGGTGATTGGTGTAATGTGTTTTCCAAGGGCTTTGTCTATCGCTGCAGGATGGGGCTCACTGACTTCCACGATAGGATGCTCACGTAAATTTTTCTTTTCTCTCTGGAAGAGACACATACAAAAAGGATGAAGGCTGTCATCAACATTTACCTAAGAGCATATTATTTCACAGACTTCCTCTGGAGCTTAACAAAGCCCTTTACAGTAATCATCAGCTAATCCTCCTAGCTTTGAAAATCTTCTATTGAGAGGAACAGTCATCTTTGTTCTTGTAATATGGTCAAATTACTATAAGAATCTGAAAAGTTCTTTAACAACCTGGTCACAAGAAAGGCTTGACTAAGATTCAACGATTATTCATGGAATTCAGATATAGATGAATACAAAGCAACTTGATGCCAAAACACATTATTTTAAAGCAGCAATTTACCTACATATGCAGCCAAAGCTGACAGCAGGCAGGAATATTTCCTTATTCATCATCACCAAAGCGAGAGAGTTCCTATTACATTTCACCCTGGAAGTGGAATGCTAATTCAAAGTTCCCAGTTCAAAACCCAAAACTTTAGCCAGGTATCATTAATTTCACAAAAGATCATGATTATTACACATTAATAAGTTGAATTACAGGCTTCCTCCAGGCTATCAGCATTTTGCAGCAGAGATTCAAGCTCATGCCGGGAATTTAGCTTTGCACGGTTAAAGTATATTAAAGCATATTATTATCCTAGAACACTGAATCTGCTTAAACAAACAGACAAACTTCATTGTTTTTGTGGTTAGGAAAGTGATGAGGAAATGTGCTGAAAAGTGTGGACTGAACAAACGATGGACATGAACATATATAAATACCCCACAAGCAACTCAGAAATACGGCTGCATGTTCATTGCTGTGCAACCTCCCTCCGTAAAAATAAGAACAAATGCTCCATAAACACTAAACATGTTCACACACACAAAGAAACTTTGTGCAAAGCAGATCAGGATGAATGCTTAATTATCAGGTCACCTGAAGTAGCCTGTAGATTGAGAAGATACTTTTGGATTTATTATTTTTTTGCCAAAGTGAAAGAGGCAAGCAACCCACAGTACGAGCCCAAAGGGAGCAGGGTGGAGGACAATGGGTGATTCAGCCGGCCAAGTGATGAGCTGACTGCCTCAATTGCTCTGTCTCCCTTGTCCTCTCAGTTGTGGCATAAGAGGGCAAAGAAATCAGGGAGGTGAATCTGCTGTCTGATGCCCCCATCTTCAAGAGAGGTGGAAACGTCCCTGTCAGGACCACTTGCTGCTTTTGCCTATCCTTTGCTACGACAGGGTGGCATACTGTTTCAGCTGGCATGTTTTTCTGGTCTGAAGGCAAGAGATTTCCTTGTGTAGTAGCCTGCCTGACCCAGCAGCTGAACTTGCTCTTATTTATTATCTGTGCATTTCATAAAATTTATACACCATCCGATTGTAATAATAATAATAGTTTTATTATTTATACCCCGCCCATCTGGCTGGGTTTCTCCAGCCACCCTGGGTGACTTCCACCGAATATTAAAAACAATACAGCATCAGACGTTAAAAACTTCCCTAAACAGGGCCGCCTTCGGTTGTCTTTTAAAAGTAAAATAGTTGTTGATTTCCTTGACATCTGTGGGGAGAGTGTTCCACAGGGCAGGTGCCACTACCGAGAAGGCCCTCTGCCTGGTTCCCTGTAACCTCATTTCTCACAGTGAGGGAACTGCCAGAAGGCCCTCGGAGCTGGACCTCAGTGTCTGGGTGGAACAATGGGGGTGGAGACGCTCCTTCAGGTATACAGGACCGAGGCCATTTAGGGCTTTAAAGGTCAGCACCAACACTTTGAATTGTGCTCGGAAACGTACTGGGAGCCAATGAAGATCTTTCAGAACTGGTGTTATATGGTCTTGGCGGCCGCTCCCAGTCACCAGTCTAGCTGCCGCATTCTGGATTAATTGCAGTTTCCGAGTCACCTTCAAAGGTAGCCCCATGTAGAGCGCATTGCAGTAGTCCAGACAGACCTCAAATCCGTTTACTGTTGGGTAAATGGCGCACTGCACTACTCCCCACCAACATTTGATTTCACTATGGTACGAAGGTACACCACTGTTGTTGTGGACAAATCTGGGACTTCAGCCTTTCTTAGAGGGCACAGGAGATGCATTGCAAATAAAAGCTATGTGAATCAATTATATAATGTATATGTAAGCTATTCCAGTTGGGTGGCGCTTAAAAGGATGTCTTTGTTTCCAGTCCTTCCCCAACCTTTCGTTTCTTCTGAAAAAAGCAGTCCCTCTTGCCATCCATTCTTGTGTATGGGGAATATTTGCTTTGTCTCTTCTTTTTCCTTCATGTGGTATATTGCCTGTGTAAATAATGCCTGAATGGGGCTTCCGTTAATAATGTCCAAATACTTTATGACTACCTACTTTTATGACTATATTACTTTTTATAATATTTTTGCTTAAAAAATTCAACATAAAATACAAAAATCAACCTAATTTATAAAACATAATAAATTAAAAAAACAAAAAATAGGGAGAGAAAGAGAGATGAAATAACTGTAGGGCCCTTTATTATATTCATATCATATATACATATCCAATCATTTATTTACACACAGAGTAGACCTTCCCATCTCCCACCTAAGCCTTTTTCTTCTCCCAGTCTCTCAGTCTGGGAAACCTTTATCTACCCTGTCTTTCATACAAGGACCCTGCTCCTCCAACTGTCCTCTTCCTGTGTATGCCATCCTCAGTCCAAAGTAAATATATATTTTTATATTTGGAAGCCATTTCTCTCTCTCTTTTCTCTTCTCTCTTCTCTCTCTCTCTCTCTCTCTCTCTCTCTCTCTCTCTCTCTCCTGCTCCTGTGAGGGTCAATATTTTCATAAGGAACAAACAAAAATTGGACCACGTACAGATTCCCAGCTGAGAGTTTGCATCAAACAATTGTTGCTGTTGGTGATACTGGCACAGGTGCATCTTGGGAAACTGACGGATCTGGATTCTGATAGATCTCTGGTCGAAGCACCTAGAGTAGAAAGCACCTTTTCCTCTTTCCTGCGTGTAAACTAACAAAATGTTGACTTCCTGACAAGGTTCATGGTTTCCAAGCAGAAGCCACAACCATGAACTGCGATCCTGCACCACCATGCATCAGGCAAACCCCTCATTCCCTTTCCCCTTGCTTCAAAAGCAGAAAACAAAATCAGTTGTGGAATACGCCCCACAAGATTTTCCCAGGCGCAAGTCATGGTTTGAAAAGCAAGATGTGCAGGAAAAGGATGCTTCTTCCAACGAACAGCGTCTCTCAGAGCCAATCAGATGAAGAAGCGAGGGAGCCAATCATGGGAAGAATAAACTAGACTATCTGGGAAGATACTTGCGTACCAGATGGAATTCTGATTGTTCACCATTAAAGGGAAAGGTTGCAGGTACACACACCATGCTTGCAAAGCAGAGAAAAAGATGTAATCAAACGCGAAATAATTGCTGTCTGTTTTCGGATTGCAGCCAGAGAGATTGCAAGGAAATCGTTAGAAGAAACCCTGTGCAGGAGGATTCTGGCATTCACACCCCTTTCGCATGCCTAAGTTGCCAAGTCTGTTTTAGAGCTCTAAAATTATCCTCAGCTACTGCTAGAGAGTGAATTGATCTGCAGTGCCCGCCAGCTGCAGTTTTAGCTCCTGTCGGTTTCCATATGCCATTTCTGAGCCCTGACATATCCTCAGATCAGATTATCTTGCATGTCTTTTGTGAATCGTAGTTTGCCCCCTCGAGCTTTCATGAGCCTAATTGAAATGGCACCACCGCAATAGCTTATCTTTTGTGTGTGTGTGCCTTCATTTCATCATCCTATTATGTATTTAAAGTTCCTCAGAGATGCTAATGATGTCTCAGGCTTGCGAACTGGATGTGGAAAAGAAGGGCTATTTTACTGCTGGTACTATTAGGGTGGGGTGGGAAGATGGATGTGGAAAAAGGCATAAAAATAATGTGATCTGAGTGTGATGGTTATTTTAAAAAGTGTTGAGGGAAAAGAAGAAAATCAGATATCAGAATGTACAGTGGTACTTCGGGTTACATACGCTTCAGGTTACAGACTCCACTAACCCAGAAATAATGCCTCAGGTTAAGAACTTTGCTTCAGGATGAGAACAGAAATCGTGCTTTGGCGGCGTGGCAGCAGTAGGAGGCCCCATTAGTTAAAGTGGTGCTTCAGGTTAAGAACAGTTTCAGGTTAAGAACGTAACCAGAGGTACCACTGTACTCTTAAGAGACAATGTGCCATGGTGTTAGTACATTTTTGGTCACAGATGTGCTCCCACATGGGGATGGCCATTAGAGGGATCATTTATTCAGTGACAGATCTCATGCTCTGTACACAAAAGGGCCCTGGTTCAATCCTTGTCATCTCAGGTAGCAGGTAATAGGAAGACCCCTGGGTCCTGAGAGCCTTGAATACTAGTAGCAGTTAGAATAGACAGTAAGGCTGGGCTATATATTGATATATCGTCGAAAACCACTGTGAAGACCATATCGTGATATGGGTTTCATATGTATTGACCTGGCAATATATCGCAAATGATGCGTGTGCTATGCAAAAATCACAATGGGGGATAAACCTGGAAGCCAGTCTGTGCTTCTCTCCATTCCTGCAACCCGTTAACTCCGCCAGTTCAAATCTCCCCTGCCTTCTGCAGGGGGCAGTGAATCATGAGCAGGCACCGGCAAAAATCAGAATGCAGGAAAACCCGTGAACCCAGCCAATGCCTCTACGTAGATCCATCCTTATTTCAGACATTGTGATATATATATTGCAATGTTGAGCTGGTGATATATCACTATGTTGAAAACCAGGCGTCGCCCAGCCCAAATAGACAGTGCTGAGTTAGAGAGATGTGATTGGCCTGATCTGTATAAGGCATCGCCCCGTTAAAGAGGAATAGCCACAGTGGTGCCTGGCAGATGATAAAGGTAAAGGTAAAGGGACCCCTGACCACTAGGTCCAGTCGTGACCGACTCTGGGGTTGCGGCGCTCATCTCGCTTTATTGGCCAAGGGAGCTGGCGTACAGCTTCCGGGTCATGTGGCCAGC